TTTTGTTATCTTGCAGATACTTTAGTTCGCTGCAACTTTTCAAGCTTTCAATTTGTTCTTCCCAAAGTTTTCCAAACTTTTCTCAGATACAAAACACACACAAACAATTTGGCACGTGTTGACACTCAGTCAGCTCCCGAAAACCCAACCCTCTTGCCTATTTTATCTATGCATCTTTATCTCCAACTTTTTTTTAAACAATTTCCCAAGGATTTTAAGCGATTTTTAATTAAAATTATGGTGCGTCCAGCTGACGCCTCAACTAACTCAAGCCAAACAACAAGAAATTAAGAGTTCTAAAGTGGAGGAAGATGGAAAAGGTTTCATAAGAAGCACAAACACCGTAAGACGATTTTTTATGAGCACAAGAACCCGCTCGATGACATCAAAATGATAAAAGTCGAACAGCAACAAAGGCAGCGGAAAGAACAGAACGTTAAGGAACTGACTCAGCGAAGAGTCAACAACTACAACAACAACAACTGACTGCCTCAACAAATTGCAAAATAAAATAAAGGTTTTGGGGGAATAAGATAAATGTATACCTATACACTGAGCGGAAAACAATGTAGCAGAAAAACAGCGATAGTGGTTTATGACAAAAGAGAAACCGACTCAAAGAATTTTTAGATTTATCCGAGATAGAAGTAAGAAAAGTTCTGAATTTTTCCTTGTGTATACGTATACAGATGTTGCTGATAACACCTATAAATAAAGCACAGTATTCAAATCATTAGCGCCAACCTGTCCAAGCCATTGATGAGCTCATAATTTGCTGGAAAAAATAAATATGAGGGAATCGAAATTAATCGACAGCGATTTCTTTGTATTGCCCGGACTCAAGCTCAGCGGATTGGTATTTTAAGGGGGGCTGATTTTTTTTTGGTTCTTAGATAGGTTATCTAATGCAAACACAGACCCCCCCAAATACACTTGACTAGGCTCCCTCCACTGATATTGATACGTATTCGAATTGAATTCCATTTCCAAGTCAATATATTTCTTTTCTTTGGTTCTAACTGTTCTTTATGTTGCCCCATTTGACTTTTTGCTGATAAAGCAATCGTCTTTCTGTTGATATACATATAAAGTAGAAATGGTAGTTATGGCATACTATTTGAGCATGATTAGTTAACGTTTTTGGGGTCAGTAATTTGGTAATTGAAAATCACACCAAGTATATATACCGAGCAAAATGGGTCAGCATAAAAATAATCATGCGGTGGCAAGAGAAAAGAACAAAGAAAAGCGTTAGAACGGTTTATTGGAATGCCAGAGAATGAGAAAGATATAATAGAGCAGAACGACGACAAAGACATAACAATCAGCGACACAGACAACATAAAAACTTTGCTTAGAAATTGGTTATTAACAAGTCCCAGACTTAAGCGGAGCCAGCAAAAAAGTGTTTTCTTTTGCAACTTTGATTTAAGATAGATTCTGATAAACTTTAAATATCTTTTGCGACTAGAAGTTTAACGAACTTGGTCTAGTTTTGTTTGCAGATTATTTTTATGCTTATAGTTTGCCTTGGAAGTGGCATTGGTTTTCTTGGCTTCAGATATTGCAAACGCATTTTTAAACTTTCTCTTTAAAGAAGAATTTAAAAGAAAATAAAAATAAATTCATGAAAAACATATCTTATCATAACGCAATTTTTTAGAAATTTAATTCATCATTAATTGTCACCTGAGGAAGTGCCTGGCGCCTTTTCCGCCTTTTGAATAATCAATCTCATTGACAACTTGAACGGTTTCCGCCTCTGTGGCGTTGATAGCCCCATGATAACTTCATCACCTCCAACATAATTCATTTCACTTTTCTGTTTTCACAGCCTTTGCCCATGTAAATGATATTTTTGGTGTGTAAGCCGTGATAAATGATACAACGACTTGAGGGAGATGTTTCTCCAACCGAAGATGTTTACCAAAAGTTATCTTTGAGTGGTTGGGTGTGGATGTGTTTTTTATTTTTTTGAATTGGCTTGGGAAAGTTTTGTGTGCGCGCCCTCCCTCCCCTGTGTATCCCATGGGATTATGCTGATGAGAAAGAGACGCCGGGTCAGCCGAAAAGGTTAACGAAAAAAGTTTGCCGGGCAATCAAGAGTTTTGTGTTATTTGCTGTTTGCCAAACTTTCCATGGGCTATCTGATGTGGATCTGAATTGGCATTTAATAAACTGTCATTATTACTTGACTCACTTGAAAAGGGGTTCTCTGACACTTCGAGAGACAATAAAAAAAGAGAATAACAAAATATATATGCAAAGAGTTTTCGACAGCAGTCAGCGTATGAAAACATTTGCTTGCTAGACAGAAAAAATCATGTGCAATTTGTCATTGATAGGCGACACTGAAATCGGATTCCTCTGCCCCCCAAAAAGCCAACCATATTGTTTATTTATTATTCGAGTCTGGGGCTAAACTTCTTTGGAACTCGTTTGGGGTCTGGGGACAGCTGAGTTGGCTATAAAGGCAACGGAAGCCGCCTCAAGTTCTCAATCTCGTTGCCCGAAAATCAATTTCTGTATCCTCTGTTTTAACACTTCAGCGAACATTGGAGCCTTGGAGATCCAACCCGAAGGAATCTAAAACTAATTTAAATAAAAACCAATCTGGCATAATTCGCTGCCACTGTGGGTAAACGACAAACTTTCAACCGTAGGACGATTTTCATTTTGATGGTGACCCTCATGCCCATGATTTCGCTTTCGCTGAACTTGAAGAAGATTAGAGGAGTATAAAGAGGTGGAGAAGCCTGAGCATGAACAGGAGGAGCCATGTGGCTCTGCATGCTGATGACTATCCAAAAAATCCAAAAAGAGCGAATCCTTAAGCCCCGACACCCATCAACAGAGTCCCAGAAACAAAGCCCAAAATACACATAAAAATGTGTAGGCAAAGAGAGATAAGCAAACATTGCTGTTGCTGCTGCTGCTGCTTCTGCCTTTCCTTTATTTTCTTTTTCCACACACAATGAAAAGCGAAAGTGGAAGTGCTTGGTAGTGTCTGGTTTTAGGCCTTGGAAATGGGAAATGTCCAAAGCACGATAGGGCACAATAGAATCAGTTATATAGGTCGAAGTCGCCAGTCGCTAGTTATGAGGCCAAAAAGAACCATGGCTGGACCATAAAAAATTACAATAAACAGCAATAGTAGCAACAGCGGCCGACCAGACCGCAAATACAAATAAAAATGGCAGAGAAAACTCGAGGAATTTATATTGCCCGCAAATAAATGGTGACAGTGCGTTTCATATAAATTATGGCATGAACATCTTTTTGTAATTGCTAATAAAATTCCCATTCAAACAAATATCTGGAAAAGTAAAAGAAATATTTTAAGGATGCTACAATCATTAGATTAAGAACTTGCTTAATTTCATTTGCCAAAATATGCCTAAAAATGTTTAATTAATTTGATTAAATTTCAAAAGTATTTCTTATTAAATGAATTAATAAATTTAAATTTTGTTTTCTTAAATTTTTATTTTTGTAATTGAATTTCTTATGAAACGCACTGTCCTTAAGTACCTTCTCCTTGTTTATCTAACAGCTACATTCTGCTCAACGTCTATCTGTCTGTCTGTTCGCTCGCTCTCTCATTTTGTCGGGAAATTAATTTGCGGCATTCTATGGTTTACGCATTTCCATTTACTGAATGGAAATTAATTAGCCACGCAGGGCTGTCGAATGCTGGGTACGGTTGGCCAGCTAATAACCTCAGACACTGCTGATTTGGTCAAGAAATTAGATTCTCCTCGCTGCAAATGAATCTCAATATTGGTTGAAGCTTGCAATTGATTTTGTTAAGAAGGGAAAGCGAAAATTACATCCTTCAAGACGATATTAATGGAGTAAGATTTTCTTTGTTAATTAAACATAAGTTCATATGCGATGTGTGCTTTGTGGGAAGTTTAATTATTAATGGATTTATGTTAGGAAATTCAAAAAATCATTGAAGAAATTAAACTTAAGTTTTTTAATCATGTTGTAAAAAAAGCTTTACATAATATAAGAAATATGTTTTTGTACATTTTCTCATCTTTATCCAGAATTATCCTTCATTGTATTCTTTCTGTGCATCGACCTTATTTCGTGCTTTGCATACAACTCTTATCAGTCGATGACTAAAGCTGCATACAGAATTGATAAACTGGTCGTTACTCCGCTGAACTCTATAAAACCTTTCGCCAATTTGCAGAAACCACAACACCCACTTCGAATTCCGCACCCCTCAAACTTGCTCTCACGCCCCAACATATGGCCCCGAAATGTGTGGCAGGCGTTGGGAGACCCTCGTTTTATGGGCTGATAAAAGGACTTTGCAGCAATCAAAAACCGCAAACATGGTAACCGTTAATGCCCCCAGACACCTATAAGAGTGCTCAGCCCTTTTCCGGGTCCCGAGGTCCTGGCCATAAATGCGCCAAATATAAATTATATTTAAACAAAATGAAAAAGGCAACACCAGAAAGGGACCATCCGGTTACAGGCGGCTCTCTTTCAGATCTCAATAATTCAAAACAATTTCGTTTTATTGCCGGCAACTTTTTCGGAGGTTTTCATTGTTTGGCTCGCATGGCTAAGGGGGCAGAGGGTAGGGGGGTAAGTGGGTGGTAAAACCGAGGTGGGATTTGTATCCTCCAAGAACAGTTTAACCTCAACAAAAGCATATTGACCCTCGGCACATGGTCAACCCTTTTTAACTCTTGCGAGGGTCGCGTGAAAAGCCAACACATAAAACGGATGAGGAATTGAAGGTGTGCACAGTAACAAAAATTTTTAAACTAGAATTTGTATTTAAAAAAGAATCTCAAAACTTAAGCCTCAAAAGGAAACAAAAATTGATTTTATTCACCAGAAAAGTTAAAAATTTGATGAGTTCACTTTTCTTATATTTTTCCATCATTTATTTTTCGTTTTATTTTTCTTTATTTTATTTGTTTATTTCTTTCCGTGTGATAATGGAAATGTATGTGGGGGAATCCCAGGAAACTTACCGCTATTTGGTCCGCTGCGGGAATGATGAAGATGAACGGGTTCGTAATCCTTTTAGCGCCGGTTTAATGAGAAATTCCTCCACAACCACTGCACACAGACACACACTCGCTCACTCCAACAGACAAGCAAACACTGTCCTTTTAATTATCCCAAAAAAAGGAGTGTGTGTAAAGAATATCTTTTGGCACCCGATCAAATCGTTTAAATTAGCGCGCTGGTTCGCTTAATTACCGTTTACTGCAGATCGCTATTGTATTTTGTAATTATTTGTAATTTAATTCAATCAAAAGTCGTACAGATTCAATTGACACACAGACACTTCAGCATTTAATTAGTGACCAATGTTGCTGCTGCTGTTATCGCTGTTATTGAGATAGCGTGATAAAACGGCACCAATACACACGCACCCGAAGACGAAACTCCGTTCTGAACACTTGAATCTCGAGCCACGAGAAATCTGAGCTACGTAACGTCCGCACGCCAAAACATTCAACAACCGAATGCCGATGAATGGCGATGGATACAAGTAGCGAACACCAGCCGCTGTTAGCCTCTGTTAACAGTGGGTTAACATACTGTTAGCCCACAAGGCGTATGTTAACGCTCTCTCGTTTCATCTTGTATGTTACTGAAAGAGAGTATATTGTTTACTATAGGACAGCAACCTAGAAACCGAATTAATATATTTTATACACTTTTCTATTTAACCAAAAAATAAGTAACCGAAAGTTAATTATTATCTATAATTATAACTTTATAGTCTTTATTTTTTTAATGGTCCAGTAAAGGGTATTTCAAACTCGATCTTAGTTGCTTAAACTGTTTTTGCTCATGAGAGTAAATGGCAGCGGAGCAAAGTGTGAGGGAGACAGTAACAGTGTGAGGTGAGAGCGCGTAAAAATTGTGTGAATGAAAGACATGGACGTAGTGAAAAACATTATTATTAGGGGTCAAATTTATATAAAAACATGAAAAAAAATGAATAAAATTAGTTAGTCTTAGTCATTAGAAATTAAAATTAAAAAACAATTCCAACCGAAAACATATTTGCATTGTATGCTTAACAAGAGAAAGATTATCACACCACGGGAAATTTTCCAAATATACCAATTCTTATCTGAAAATAAACCCACATATGTATTATTTCAAATATCCCAACTATCACCTCGTCGATAACTTAGGAATGTTGATTTATATGCTAGAAATTCCAGGAAAACCTAAGGCCGGCGTCTTGTGTTAATGCAAACCCATTTGGTTAAGCCTTTCGCGGGCCCTTGGCGAAATGGAAGTTCATTAATGAATCGACGCCATAAACCGCCCTTTAAACGGTAGCTGCAAATTATTTAAATGGACTCAGACCAACCGGCGAGTGATGGAAAATCGGTTCAAAAATTGAATGTAATTAAAACCGTGGCCCATAACAAAGGGCAACTGTTTCAGCTGTAAATGTTTTCGCAGGCAAAAAAGGATATGACAATAACAACCACTCGATACATTGAGAGAAATAAATGTATTGAAAATAAATATTAAACAATTTTAATTAAACATTTAATAAGTCCCCTGTCAGTTGTTAATAGATTTCCCTTTTTAATTAATTTTTAATAGAAACTCTTCTTAGGCAAACTATTTTAATCCGTTTTTTTTGACTCAATTAAATAATATTTTTGCAGTGCATTGTACTGGGTTGCGTTGTCAAGACGACGACATCGACATCAACACCGGTATTGGCCATAGCAATTGACAACTTTCCAGCAGGTAAGCAAGTAAAAGCAGCCAAAACAAAACGGAAAATACTGAAAAACCCGAATATTTTGTAATAAAGAAAACTCCGAGCTGAAGGAAGGAAATAAGGACAAGAACCGAGCACCTGTAAAAGGAGCGGAAAATTGCAAGACAAGTGTTGTGCGGATTTTCACGGAAAACCAGGAAGTGGGCAGAAAAACAGTGAAAGAAAACTGAATAGCTTGACAGGACTCGCAGCTGGAGAGCTATTTGAATCTGAATCCGGGTTCTTGCAGCTGGCCATGGCCATGAATTTCTACGACGAAGAGATCACAATCGGCGGACCCGACTCCAAGCATCTGAGCAGTGTTCAAATGGAGCCGCGAAATGGAGGTCCGAGCGTTGGCAGAGGTGGTGGCCCGGGGGGACGAGAGGTGGGCGGAGAAGGAGCGACAGAAGGAGCCACTGGAGGTGTACAAAGAGCAGCCGCCGGAAGGCAACGTCGAATGGTGAGTGGTAAAGAATTTTATCGGTAAATTCCGTAAATGAAAAAGATGCATTTAACATGGGAACAGTTCCAGGGAAAGGCTTTAAAGAAAAAGAAAAATTCTTATTTATTTAAATTTTCCCGTGTATAATCTAAAAAATTAGCAGCATTTACTAGTTAAAGTCAGATTAAAATCTTTTCTTTTCCAACCAGCAATTCCAAAGTAACTCCACAGATGACGATGGCCTGCTGCAGGACATTATTGATCATGATGACGAAGCGGAGGACAGCGATGATGACGATGATAGCGAGATGCAGTTACCTCATGGAATGACCATGGGTGTGGGAATGACAGGTCTGGTGCCCGGACCACATACCCACAAGCGACCCGGAAGCAATCGAAGTTCCAAGCAGCCGCCAGATGACAATATGAGCTCGGGCAGCGAAGAGGCAGGAATGGGTTCAGGGGGTGCAAGAGGTGGAACCAAGTTGCCACACCATAAGTTAACCCTGCCCATGAGGAGCAGTGCTGGAAGGTCCGAGCGACCGGAAGAACAATCGTTTAATTTGAGCCCAGATAAATGGGAGGAACTATCATTGCCTGGGGAACTCAAGGAATTATTCCCATATATCGTGAAATACACCCCACAAACGATCGATACCCCTTTTCATCTGCAACCGTTTATTCCGGAGTTTGTGCCCGCTGTGGGTGATGTGGATGCCCTTTTAAAAGTTCAAGCTCCTCCACTTTTGCAGCCTCAACGCCAAAAGGAGTTAAATGATCACCTCGAGAAATTGGGTTTATGGTTGCTCGACGAACCCTCTGGTACCCAAAGTGAGCCCAGTCTCCTGAATATGAAACTACGGTCGGTACTAAGTGGAAGCATGGGCCGTAATCCCCGCCATTCCTCCTCCGCTTCTCTTATTCCCACCGCTCGATCAGCCAAGGATATAGATAAATGGATCTCTGAGGTGGAACAGGTACATATGACTCAGTCTATGTACGATGCTCAACCCAGAAAGGATATTGATGCGCTCTTGGAGGATTGGCCACGATCTTTTGGCGATGATGAGACAAAGAATGTCTTAGATGAGGCCTACAGAAACTGTCTGCAGCAGAATATATCCCTAGTGGACTACGTGAAAGTTCTTTGTGAGAGATTTGGAGTGGATGGTCCTATGGAGTCACAGGCGGACTACATTCATAATGTCCAGACACTTTTCGCTCTCTATTTGGCCGCCAGTCAGGCATGGGAGTAGGCAGCGGAATATAAAAAACAATATTATATGGAATACTTATATGAATTATCGGGATATATATAATATTTTCTATAAATAAATGTGTATCAATATCAAAACCAACATACACCAAACATATAATTTTACCTTGCTATATTCTTAAAATGTTAATTCATAAATCAAAGTTTATTTCTCAGTGCATCGGCTGGTACTGGTCTCACTAATAACGCTAATGGCTTCGATTAAGTGACAGCCAGACGGCGTTTGTTTGCCCCTCTCGATGGCGATGCCTCCATATTTTTCCCTATCCGTTCCCCTTTGTTCCAGGACCTGGCCTTAAATCGCACGGAAAACGGTCAACCCATAGCCTTGTTTGTATTCGGTGTAAAAGGAAAGGGCAAGAGTCTTGAACTAAAGGTGGTATAAGTCTACGGACTAAGAGTAAAAACGGTTGTTATGACCCAAGTGGATAGCCAATCAAATACTTACCAGCATCACATCTGTAAATGTCATACTCAGTTAGTTAAGGTATCCAATTTGTCAAAATAGCTTTGGTCTTTGAGCTCTAGAAAATATTTTTTTATTCTTTAATGCATGGCATTAAGAAAAATTTTTATACAGCTATAAGATTTAAATTCCTCCTTCCTTAAATTCCTTTTTGCTGTCAGCAACAAAAATTAAATTCATTTCACCATATTTTTTCTACTTGCCAGCGGGCAGTCGCGAATGAAATGAAAATCTCCTCAAGGGAGACGGACAAGCGGATTCAATTCAACTTTTCGCTTAAAATCATATCAAGGCAGTGCATATTAAATAATATTGATAATAATATTAAATTAAACAAAAATCAAATGCAATTTTTTAAATTATTTTCCAAAAAAACTTCGATTAATGTATGGGAAAGTGTACAAAATGAATGACGAGGGAATTCCTGGAATTCTTTCAACCGCTGCCTACTTATAAGGGCAGGGAAAACACGGTCATTGCAGGTCTGACCATCCCACTTGAACCCATAAACCAATCATGCACTTCATCAAACACACAACAGCAGCAGAAGCAACAGCTCCAGCAGGACAGAGCGGCCGGCGATGCCTAATTAGGCCCCGCTTAAGACAACACATTGGCCAGGCCGAAAGCATGGGCCCAAGTCCAAAGCCCGAGTCTGTCGGAAACGGCCTTAATTATGCGTAAGCCGTAAAGAGCCCATTAATGTCATTTTCGTTGCATCGCCAATGGACGGTGGGCGGAGGGCGTGACAGCCGCATGTTTGATCAACCGACAATTCAGGACTGCACAAATCAAGAAGGTTCTGTATACGAAGGGAACTTCAGACGGATGTTTTTATTTATGTATATGGCCTTAAACAGCATCGTCATTGTCCATCTTACTTATTTTATTGAATATTTTGCTGGAAAAGGAGCCGTAAGCTAAATTTTCTTTCCTTTCTATTAAGTTTTTAAAATAACCGCCGATCTTTTTTATATTAGGGAAATATATTGTTAAAGCTAAGAATTCGTTTAACAAATTCTTTAAGTAATCTTTAACTCTTCTCAAAAAACAAGCAACTATTTAAATTTGATTAAGTATTCGTTATGTTGCGTTGCGTGCCTTTCTCACCAGAGGTCGCTTTTCCCTTACTTACATCTGCTAATTATCTTAAAGAGAAACAATAACAGAATGCTGTTACGCACCACCTACTTTATTATACACAGTATGACCATAAATTAGGTACATTAAAGCCCGATATGTTAATTTCATCCGTATATTATCGATAACAGGATTCTTTTTCAATTTTAATTAAACTTTTTTTAAATTAGATAGATACTGACACAGGATTTAAATTTGACATCATATAATTTAAATTTTAATAGCACCCACTCTCAGAGCCAAACGTTTGGAATTTATTTCTACCAAAGTTAATAATAGGATTACATTCTGCAGTGATATAAATGCAGACAGATTTGCTTTACTTCACTTTGAACGAACTTTGGCTTGGCTTAGAATAATAATAACGTTTCCAGGCCTCGATTTTCTGATGCATTTGATATATTGGTAAGGCGAAAGGGCGGCGAAATTTGAGAGTCAGGGCTGCATCACCATTTCTAAGATGTTACCATCTGGCAGCACCGCAGAATTGTATTGTTTTGTGTACAAAAGACCAACACATTTTAAAACAAACATTACTAACTTAACACATGAACCGACCGACCACTTGGGATGATCCCCAAGGACCCTGCCGATATTGTGAAAAAGCAGTGGAGGATGACAACTATTTGGAGTGCCAACAGTGCCGGCGGATGGTGCATATAAAGTGCCTGCCACATGCGAGCACGCCCGGAGATCTGTTGGGCGACGTTTTCTTTGACTTCTCGTGCGTTAGGTGCGTGTTGGACAGAGCGAAAGAATCGAATGCGCCCCCAAGTCTTTGGAACCCATAAAGGAAGAGCTTGTGCGCCAAAAGATTCCCTGGTTGCTTGTGCTCACCTTAACTCTGCACAATCTGTCCGTTAAACAGAAAGGTTTGGGCCACCACGGATTCTTCCACTGGCGCACCCATATAATTAGTTTTGTGGACAAGAATTGGAACTTTATATTCGGACCCAATGTGTAAGCAATTGTACTAGTAATTTTTTGAGAAGTAATCTTGAATATAATCTTTTTCAGGCGGCGTCGCAAACAATGGACTGGATCAGTATCCGGAGCTCTATCCCACAACAGCCCGGAATACTTTCAGTCCGGTCTGGAAGTCTTTCAGGAGCACGGTTGGTGGAAACTGGCCAATCCCTTTCAAACACCAAGGAGCGTTCTTAGAGAATGTAAGTACTCTTAAAGCTAGCAACAACGACGTTTATCTATCCTCTTCTTATCAGATGAGAAAAAGCAATTGCAGCGGCAGCAATTGCGTATTGAAAAGCGTTTACCCATCGCGGATGAGACCAGCTGTAGCAGCGAGATCTCAGTGACCGATCATACCTCGGAGAACACCCATCTCATAAAAGCAGAAGCAGAGGAAACCAATTTAACGGAGGGCTGTGCCCGTACCATGTACGAATATTATCTTATTATTAATAATTGACGTGAACTTAATGAACATATATTACATTTCTAGTCCCTATATGGGTCGCCAACCAAAGGTGCCGGCCCCACCTTTACCCGTGTCTCAAGAACGTCTTCCAACGCCACCTGTTGCTGAAGAAAATACAATCCCACCAAGACAGGAGAAGGAAGAGGAACCGCAGAATGAGCCGTTGAGCATGGTTCAAGCAAGTCTGATGGATTTCCTGGCTGAGAGCTTGGGAGGCGATGACTTTAGCATGTTTGGTAGCCTACCCGGCATAATGCCACCTCCTCTTATAGGAGAAGGTAAAAACGATTTCTTCATGACCGAACCCTTGCTGCAGGTGCCTTCTAATAGTGAAGGCCTCTACGATATGGATACAAGTTTTGAAATACCAAGTGCCACAGAAGAAAGGAAGGGAGCTAAAAATATTAAAGAGGAGACCAAAACAAATTCAACCGAGGAAATCAGCACCGAAAGCAGTGAAAAGCAAAAAGAATACGAGAAAGAGGATGAGAAGGCGAAGGAGGAAGAACCATCTGACTATCAGCCCCGAATAGTGCAAGTTACAAATTATCAGGCTCGAGAGGCTAGTGAAACCATCAAAGAGGAACCACTGGAAGATGAAATGCATGATGAAGATGAGGAGATACAGGAAAAAATCCCTTTTATCGAGCCGTGCATTCCAAGTGGATTTTTAAGACAGCCCCGGAGAAATTGGCCTTGGTTACAAGAGGCACAGGATTCCGATGACTTGGCTTTTCCTACCGAAAATCTTCAATTGATGAGTGTGTACGAGGAACAGAAGTTGTATCAAAGACTTCATAAAATATTCTCTCTGGAGCAGGAATGCCAAATATCCATACCCGCCTATGTTCGACGGATATATCGAAAACTGTCCCTCCGAAAGTGGAAAAGAGACCATAATAGACCCATTTTCAACCTCGATGAGCACATAGATCCCGTGGGCAGAGCACTCTTGAAGATGCAAGGCCATCAACAGGCCCAAATACTAGATAGATATCAACTGTTGGCCCATTCGCGGCAAGATGCCAGAAGCGCCTTCCATGCTCGCTTGGCAGGATGCACTCAATACGAGCTTTTTGAATCGCCCTATTCTCAGAGAGTTCTCCATCCTTTTATTTTCCGAAGCAAAACGATTGCTCCTCCCTGGCTGAAACTCATGTGCGAGCTACAGCACCGAGTGAATCGATCGCATCCCGTGAAATCCACAATCGACTTTTGCTATGTCAGACCGCAGCATATTCCAGCGGTAAACGCATTGCTACAGAGCTCTTTTTGGCCAAATATCGATGGTACGTTTTTATCTTTTTTATATTAGCTTTTGTAACTCCCATATGTTCCAATTTTTCTTTCAGTGAGCGAGTGTCTCAGCTATCCAGACTACAGTGTAGTCGCCTTGTACAAAAAACTTGTCATCGGATGTGGATTTCTGGTGCCTGATGTAGGCTACAACGAGGCGTACATCTCATTCATGGCCGTGCGTCCGTGCTGGCAACGCAGTGGCATCGCTAGCGTTATGCTATATCACCTTATTCAGACATGTATATCCAAGGACATCACTTTGCATGTTTCCGCCACTAACTCCGCCGTGATGTTGTATCAGAAGTTCGGATTCAAGATGGAAGAAATAATCCTGGACTTCTATGACAAATACATGCCTCTAGACTCGAAGCAGAGCAAAAATGCTTTCTTTTTGAGATTACAAAGATGAAAGGAGTTCAAATATATGGTCATGAATTTTAAATTTCTAGTTTTAATGGCCTGAAAGTATAAAACAGCTATTTCAAAAAAGGACTTTTGGCTGCAAAGGCATAGCTTTTGACATACCGAACTTTATTATTTACTTTGGTTTAACTTAAATGTAGTTATTATGATGTGCCAATTTTAGGCGAATATTTTCTCCTCCCTGCGCTTTTTGGTGACCACCGTGCCTGGTTTGTGCTGAGCCTCCGGGTGGTTCATTAACTCCGGCGGACAAGTCGAAACAGGACTGGCGGATACACATTGCTTCAGATCATAGAACAAAGCACTATCATCCTTTGTGACAAACGAAATAGCACAACCAGTCTTCCCAGCACGACCTGTACGACCGATACGATGGGTGTAATCCTCAATAGTCTTGGCCATGTCATAGTTAATAACTAAAGACACATCCTTAATATCGATACCACGTCCAGCCACATCGGTAGCCACTAGGATGTCCTTTGCGCCCGATTTCAAAGCAGCCAAAGCGTACTCTCTCTGCTCCTGACCTTTGCCACCGTGCAACGTACAGGAATTGTAGCCCAGTTTCTCTAATCCCTTGGCCAGCACATCGGCGCCCTTCTTTTGATTGACGAAGATAATAACTGGCGGATCGATCTTCCTCGACAAAATCTCCATGAGCTTTTTGCGCTTGTCGTTCTCGCCCATCATGTAAACAATTTGTTCCGTTCTTTCTGTTGGCTTTCCGACGGATCCGATGTAAACCGTAGCAGGTCGCCGTAGATACGACCGAGCTAATCTTTCTACAGCCGGAGGCATCGTAGCCGTAAACATCACCGTTTGTCGGTACTTCTTTTTTGTATAGAAGTTTTCCATCAGCTTTGTTTCGTCTTCTGCCTCCTCAGTATCGGGCTTTAGGTTGGTTACGGGCATATACTCCAGGATTTTCTGGACATCGGGTTCGAAGCCCATGTCTATCATACGATCGGCCTCGTCGAGGACAATGTACGTACATTGATTGAGTACCAAATATCTATTCTCCAGCACATCGATGAGACGACCTGGCGTGGCGATGACAATCTCGCAGCCCAATCTCAGACGGAATCCTTGCTCCTCCCTGGACAAACCACCCACAACTACCACAGTTCGTATTCCCAAAGGTTGTCCAAACTTAGTTGTTTCCTCCTCGATTTGCTGTGCCAACTCACGCGTGGGAGCCATGATAATGGCATAGGGACCCTGGTCAACATCCTCCAGACGTTCAATCTTGGGTAAAGACTGAATCCAAGAGAGCAGCGGTATTAAGAAAGCCAATGTTTTACCGGAACCCGTCTCAGCTACGCCAATAATATCCCTATTCTGCAATCCAATCGGAATAGCTTGCCTTTGAATGGGCGTGGGTTCCTTATAACCCACTTTATCAATAATGTCGATAATTTCCTTGGGGAAGCCAGACTCATTCCAACTCCTGATAGGATTGGGTATTCTGCCACCTTTAATGGTGACATTGTAGTCTTCCCTGAAGATTCGCCAATCTCGTTCAGTCATCTCATCGTTGTCTTTTTCGGACCAGTGACGATCGTCCCACTTCTGTTTATCTTCCTTGCGCTTCATTTTCTTTAGGCGCACTTTTTCCTGTTCTTTTTCCGCTTCCGTTCGCCTTTTCTCCAGAAGATCTCCGTAGAATTTGCTCTGGGTGCGCTTTTGCTCTTTTATATCAATGCCAGCCACATTTCCTCTGCCGAAGAATTGAACATGGTGGCGTTCCTTGTAGAGATTGTTGTAATCTATTGATGTGTCTTCACCGGCATCCCAATCGAAAACAAATTTGCGGTCGTTAAGGCGGCGGACTCGACGTTTTTTCTTGATTATGCCTAAGTACCGTTCCCGAATGGCCTCCAGTTCCTTTTCCTTATCCTTGTGGGTGAGATCCTCGGCTCGCTTGTCATCTCCACGTTCCCCACGATCATTTCTGTCGCCACGATCTCGACCCCCTCCTCTTTCTCGTCGTTCTGGTTTGGGTGGCGGTGCCATGATGGCCGGTGGAGGAGCTCCCGATGCCATGGCCGTGCCCATGGAGATGCTAACTTTACTGGCAGCAGCCATTTGCTCACGGGCTGCATCGTGGGCGGCGCGCTGGCGCTCAACTTCTTCCTGGCGCCGCTTTATGGCTTCCAGAGCTCTTTGTTCCTTGGTAAGGAAAACGGGTTTGCTTCTGGCCTCCTCCTCCCGTTTCTTTTTGTCCAACAGCTCCTCCAGCGAGAGAGGCTCCTTTTTTATCGACGTATCCTTGTCATCTTGAAGCTCTTGTTCATCGACTATTAAAGGTTTAGGTGGAACTTCGCCGGTCTCTATCTTAGCCTTCTTTTCAACACCGCCGCCTGGTCCTCCAACCCCTCTTTCTCTGGATCGCTCTCGGACATTTTCTCGTGGCCTTTGTCGTTCGGGTGATCTCCGCCTGCCCCGATCCTCACTAAAAAAGAACGGCTTTTAAGTGTAAGCACAAATTTCAAAACAATTGAAAGAAAAATTTACCGGGATCGAGATCGCCGTTGGCGTCTGTCCTTCTCCCTCTCATACTGCCTATCTCTCTCCCTCGCACGATCTCTGTCCCGCTCGCGATCCCGGGGATTGCCCACCGCCGGCCGATCCTCCCTGTAACGCTCCCGCGATCGTGACCGACGTTTTTTATCGTTAACCATTTTCCAAATTTATTCAATTTTGTAAACGCTTTTTCGGCTTACAGAAACAGCTGAGAGTGATGGTGAGGCCATTAAGCACTAACGCCTTATATATCGACAATAGGCACCTATCGATAACTTTGGCCATTTAAAATTGTTACTTATAATAACATTTTGTTTTAATTACACTTTTGTAAAAGCCATATGATTTAAGTTTTATATCATATGTTTTATCTGTTTTAGTAAAATATCCAAAACACATTTTTTTATTGCACAACAACTGTATATATATTACAGTTACCATCCAATTTTTCTATGAAATATAAACTGCTACAAATTATGAGTTATTTTTGAACTAACGAAAACAAAAAAGCCAACAAGTTTTGAGTTTAAGCTTATAAGTATATAAAGCATAACAATAAATAACTCTTCGCATTGATTGATTTTTGGAATACATTTATTAAAAACTGTTTCATTTAGATTTCGGTTTTGAAAGTTACAAACATGATTTTATATTGTTTTAACCCTTTAGTTCTTGAAGTTTGTCATACATACTAGGCATCCGCCCAGATTTGACAAGATACGTTAATTCCCTGGGAAGGTTGGCTCGTGATATTTATTTGGACATAAGTGTAGCCTGGACCTCCAGATAGTACGGTGGAGGAGGGTCCCGAACTGTTGGTGAATAAATCCGTTATGCTAATGAACCGAATGGTTTTCGTATTGGTCTGGCCCTGTTTAGATATAATAAAAGGTATGATTAGATATTTGTTTTGATGTAAGCTAAGATCTTTAGCTACTCACCGTCAATGGGAATATAATCTTACTGCTCACATTCTGATTGGCCTTCTTGTGAACAGTTACGTTTTGGGTGCTTACTAGCTTGCTGCTGGATAATTTAGCACCCCAACTGGCGTTTGCAGCGAAGGCAATGGCCAAAATGGCGGACAACACAAGAGCGATCTGCAGGGTCTTCATTATAAAAACGTATTAAAATATAAACCGTTTGTCCTCTTACTTTTATACGAAAAATACGCAGCCAAAACACCCAAACTTATCTATTTTGAAGAGCAATATTTGATTATCAATTCCTTAGAATGCCGACCAATTTAATATACTATATTTAGAGACCAGAATTGCTTATCTTGGTTGCTTGGTCATCCATCGGTGATTCCTATTTTCAATTTCGCGCTCTTTTACATTATTTATCAGTTTACGACTGGTTTATTATTTTATGAAGAAACAATGGTCATGCGTTTAAAATTTTTTTTTTCGTATTTCAACGTGTAATTCATTTAAATTAGTTGTTTGTAATTAATTTTATTATCATAGAATAGGAAATAAGTTTTCAAGTGTCACAAGTAATTGTCCTCTGATTAGATTAGTAATGAAGCATCCGGAAATGGCTTTAAACAGTTTATAATCACTTCATTTTTTTACAGTAATATATGATAACAAATTGAGCTGGGACATATTAAAAAAATATTTGAAAATATATATTTATTTTTTATTTACTACTACTTGCTAAAGGATAAAAAGATTTATATTTAAAAAAAAATCTGGTCATACCTTGGCAGAATATCGTTACACAAACGATATATACTACATTACAATGTATAAAGTTTAGTATATTTTTTTACTAATATTATGGTATATATCCGAATGCTACCACATTATAGAAGTCATACGTTTACAAAGGCGTAGTCGGGGGTTAAAAGATCTATTACTTTGTTAATTGTTAATAACATATTTTTGTCATGACAAACAAAAGCAAGTATTAAAGTCATACATCTTTATTAATCATTATTTTAAATAAATATTTTTTATTTTCATAGGCTGATAACTACAGTTGAAAGTCCTTTATTTAATAAAACAAACCCCGTTCAAAGTTTTTCTACATCCGTCCATGGTTATGATTATTCTTATTGGTCTGCGACAGCTGGAAATTGTAGGCGTTCGTTTGGACGTCTTTAGTGTTTCCGGATTTCTCGCACCCGCACCACGGACATCGAGATGAGCGCTTCCACGGAGCAGGAGACGGCTCCAATAGCAAGTTCCCGGAATGGACGGTCCGGCAGTGTTTTCCGTAGTTTTGGATCCCTTTTCGGCGGTAGTCAAAACAGTGGAGATCGACCACATACGCCACAGGAGGGCGATGGGTATGTGGAATTCGGAATGCAGGATCCGGAACGGAGTGGTCGTACTCTAGGGACCTTTGCCGGAGTTTTCAGTCCCGTTGCCCTTTCCATGTTCAGTGCTTTGGTTTTCATCCGAGTCGGTAAGTTTGGCGATGACGTCACAAAACACTTGTTGTGATGGTCCATTGAACTCGGCCTTTTCCACTATTTCAATCTCTTTGTTCAGGCTACATCGTTGGAAATGCGGGCTTGTATATAACCCTGCTGCAGTTCCTAATCGCCTATGGAATTCTACTTTTCACAGTGGCTTCAGTCTGCGCCATTTCCACTAATGGTGCAATTGAAGGAGGAGGCGTTTATTGTGAGTTCCAAACATATTTTTTCGATTATTTGCGATATAGAACTAATCATTTCTTCAAAGAACTAAATGTATAAGCACAACTGTCATTACACAGAAATGATGATGATATGGGATTCTCATGTCTTTATTAGTTGTAAATTCCCACATATAATATTTTAAACCTTGAAATATCGTATTTGGATTTTAATGTTCGTAACAGTATTAAAGATAATAAATTTTCCCAACCACAAATGCAATATTTCATAAAATTTTATCTGACTCGTAGCGATTTATTTAACATTATGACAAACTCCCAATCACAACTTAAAGACTTGTCAAATATATCATATGCTAATTGAGTTTCTATTTCACACTTTTTAAACGATGAACGGAAATGGTCAGATTTTAGATACCTAAGAAATATAATTCTTAGGTGATTTCTTAAGCTAACTCTGTTAAACTTTTATAATATTTTTTAATCCGTATATTGTAAAACTCCTATGTTTATCTTATACTTTAATAGTCATGATCAGTCGAACCCTGGGATTGGAATTTGGTGGCTCTATCGGAACTCTCTTCTTCTTTGCGAATGTGGTCGGATCTGCCATGGCTATATCCGGTTGCACTGAAGGTATAATGGATAACTTTGGACCACGTGGACATTTTATAAGCGGGGACTCCTATTTACCGGATGGGAATTGGTGGCGCTTCCTTACCAGCAGCTTGATAAATACCCTGCAGCTGCTGGTTTGCCTGGTGGGTGCCGCTCTGTTTGCCAAGACGTCAGTGCTTATTTTGGGCACCGTGACCGTTTGCCTATTCGCCACGTACATTAGTTTCCTGGTTGTGGGCGCCACCAATAATACGGTAAGATATCTGTGATACACTGAGAGAAACTTTTTAAAAATAGTTAATAGTCACAGGACTTATAAAAGAAAATTATTAATATACCTATGGTCAACTTCAACCTTTGTTAACATATTTTGAAAACATTTATAAATGTTTAAATATGAAGTTATTTTTCTGCAGTGTACCAATTGCTCATAGAGGAAAAGCGCTGTCGCTTTTATCAATATAGATGGGATATCGATATCTAGGCTATCAAGGGCTCAAATTGGGTTTTTTTTAAATATTTGTTCGAGGCTTATCAAGGTTGATAAATTCTCGACTGGAGTTGGTCAGAAAGGTTATTGTTTATACCAGGGGAGATTCCAATGCTGATTCACAAATCTTTCCTGAAATTAAAGGCCTAAAGGGGACTTAACTCAAAAAGTTTTCAGATATGTAATTACGAGAACTTGCAGTTTGATTCATAAAGGGTCAGAAAATTTCATTTCGTATATATAATATATGTAAGTAAATTTGAAAGTGAAACTACTTTGCAATACAAAAATATTTTGTAGTCTAGTTACTTAAACATTATTTTTTATTTTGTTCTCAAACAAAATCCCCTTTCCTAAATACACATAATATAAAAAAGCAAAATAGATTGATAAGAAAGTTTGAATCATAAAGTGACCGTGCCGATTGCAAGTTACTGAATTAAGAATGTATGTGTTTAACACTACTATTGTAACTACATATATATACCATAGCTACAAAAAACAAATTAGAGGCCAAACAACTTAACAGTTTGATAGGAACTCCGAATGGACTTTACAATTTCATGATAATGTCCTGTTTAGCTAGAATTAATATTTAAATATAATTTGGCGATTTCAGATTCCCGTGCCTGGAGAAAATACTTTATCAAATACAACATCTTTTCTTGATTATACGGGTCTTAATGCCACCACGCTTCGAGACAATCTCGGTTCCCACTATGGTCACGATTACACATCGAATGGAAAGCAAGTGGACTTCTCCACTACCTTCGGTGTGCTGTTTTCGGGAGTTACCGGAATTATGGCAGGAGCTAATATGTCCGGGGAGTTAAAGAATCCATCAAAGAGCATTCCCTGGGGCACACTTTCAGCCGTGGCGTTTACGTTCGTCTCCTATATCATCTTATCGTTCCTGATGAGCTGCACAACTCCGTACTTCACAATGCAGAATAACTATCTCTTTTTGATGCCTGTGAACTTGTGGCCTCCATTTACGGCAATTGGAATTTTAACCGCTACCTTTTCGACCAGTCTGAGCAACCTGATTGGTTCCAGCAGGATTTTGGAGGCCTTGTCCAAGGATCAAGTTTTTGGAAGCCTTCTGAACTTTGTGATTCATGGAACTTGGAAAGGAAACCCCATTGCGGCAGTTGCGGTGAGCTGGTGCCTAGTTGAATGCATTCTCCTAATTGGATCCTTCAACATAATTGCCCAGATTAATTCTGTGCTGTTCATGCTCTCGTATTTGGCCACCAATCTGGCTTGCTTGGGCATTGAATTAACTGGAGCTCCCAACTTTAGACCACTCTTTAAGTACTTCACGTGGCACACATGTCTGGTTGGATTGCTGGGTACACTGATCATGATGTTTGTGATTAACCCCATATATGCCTCGTCTTGCATTATTCTTTGCCTCATCCTGGTGATAGCTTTGCATTTGTTTTCACCTGCAACCCAGGCAGCTCAATGGGGTTCGATTTCCCAGGCTTTAATGTTCCACCAGGTGCGAAAGTACCTTTTGATGTTGGATCCTCGAAAAGATCACGTTAAATTCTGGCGTCCGCAAATCCTGCTGCTGGTTTCGTCTCCGCGTTCCTGCTGTCCTTTGGTGGATTTTGTCAATGATATGAAGAAAAGTGGTCTGTATATTATTGGACATGTGAAGTTGGGTGACTTTAAGGGTGTTGAGGATGCTGAGGAGAACCAGCAATGGTGGTCCTTCCTAGATCACATGAAAGTCAAGGCCTTTACGGAGGTCACATTGAGCCGAAGTATTCGCGAGGGAGTCCAGCACTTGATTCGCCTTTCGGGAATTGGAGCCATGAAGCCGAACACAATTATTTTGGGCTTCTATGACAACGAGGCGCCCAGGGATTTTTTCCAAAAGTATGTAAAGCGATTTTTATCTATAATTATTTCCTGATTTATTTATCTTTTAACGTATTTCAGCGGTTCCTCCCCTTATAAAACCGATGACTTCAACAATGGGGAAATCCAAAACTTCCCCATTCGTCGTGACGGCGATCCAAAGCAATTCCAAATCCAGGAATACGTGCAAATTCTTTGCGACACTCTTAGGATGAAGAAAAATCTCTGCCTGTGCAGAAATTTCCAAAGATTGGACAAGAACTTTATTTCTATGTAAGTGAAATATTTCTTTTTATTGTTGAAATTCAATTTTAAACTTAATTTTCTAATGCAGAAGCAAGCATGTGAAGTACATTGATGTGTGGCCAATCAACATATTCAATCCGACATCTGGAGATCCTTTCGATATGGTGTCTTTGTTTATGATGCAATTGGCGGTAATAATGCTGGCCAAATGGAAACATCTACGAGTGAGAATTTTCTTGTGCGAGGCCGCCGAGGAGAGGACAGTGGGGTTAGTTGAATTGTTATAACATAATTTAATATATTTAATAAATAATTTTAATCTTGTAGCACATTTGACACACAAGCCCCCCAGATGGAAGTCTTCTCGAAGATGAAGCTGGAGCAGTCTCTCAAGGAGTTGCGTATCACAGCTGATATTGTGGAAATCCAGGAATGGAGCCGAGACACAGATTTCAGCCGACATGCCAGAACCCTTAAGCAATTTACCGCTCAAGCAAACAACGTTTTGGTGGAAGAGGATGAGGAGGTGGGCGAGGAGACCTTGAACCGCTCGTTGCTCTATATGCAGAGGGCTAACCAAATTATACGCGAACGCTCGGATCAGACAGCATTATCGTTTATCTATCTGGCTGCTCCGCCCAAGCTCTCTACTCCAGATTTCGCACAACGCAGCGCAAGCTATATGGAATTGCTAACCGAACTGACCGCCGAGTTGCCGCCCACAATTCTCGTCCATGGTGTCAGCACGGTGACCTCCACAACGCTGTAGACATCGACTGGGCGATATTTTCATTTCCATGAGTGATAAAATCCAGAGTGCATCCGGATTTAACCAATTACGAGGGGGTCTTTTGATCGTTGTGCGCGTTTTTAATGTGGTCGCAGCTTTAGGCATAATCGAGAAATATTATCCATTAGGGTGAGGCGATTAAGTTGGAAAGTATTTAGTATGAGATTAACAATAATTCAATAATAGCTTATGCTGAACAGCGAAAAAGTGCTTTAATATTTGATTTTAACGATATTTTAAATAATTGTGATTTTGTAAACTTAAAGATGGATTTCCTATTTCTATATGTGATTTTTGTCACTATATAATTTTTATAATTAAACATCGCCTCACCCTATAAAACAAGTATATCTCTATTATTTTTATTTCAAGTTTTAGCTAATTTAATATTTATTCGCACAGATCCGCAGAAAAAACTAAAATCTAAATCAAAACCTATCATCATATCAAAAACTGATGCATATATTTTAAACAAACCTTCGAGGACCATCTAATGAATATCATTTTCGAAACTCATCCCCAACCGAACTCACACCGATATTAACCTCCTTGTGATTAAACATAATGTCTACTAGTACTTCACGATTAAACATACCACAAGGCATAAAGTATTAGATAACCGCAATAGAATGTGGTTGTAAAATTGATGATTTCATATTACACTTAGTTTGTAAGCCATTTTTGGAAGGCCCTCACAGCTAAGACGGACATTGATCGATTGTTTTAGACAAATATTTTTGTGTATGTGTAACCCTAATGGAACTGTGACTAACCGTATAATATAATTATTGATCACAGCATTGATTGTAATCGGTTCTTTCCAATATTTTAAATAAAGACTTAGCGATATGTATTTATGTAATTGCTAACGGATTTTTTTTATTGTGGATCACTTAAAAGAAGATATCGAATTGAGTGTTTGGTACCATTTAGTTTCTCTTAATCATCAAATCAAGGAAGTTTTCGCCAGTATATGAAAATATATCCTATTCATTGTTACCTTATCCGAGGCATCCATTAACACTTTCCGCTTTTGGTCAAGGGGACTCTTATCATCCTTTAACTTTGTTTGTGAACCGTTTACCGCTACCATTAAATGCTTATTAAGATAGGAGACGTGGGTCACGTGTAAAAGAGGACACTGATTGCCCAGCAGGAGCATCTAAAAAATCAGGAGCAACGGCAGACGGGCAATAGAGTCATAAATGTCACCCGGGATACGGTTCATCCTGTTGTTGCACTATTTATGTGATGACAATTTATGATACCCATCATGGAAGGTCGGCGTAGTACTTTTGCTTGGCTCTGATTACCTGCCCATGTCCTTGCGAGGATCGCTGTCCGTTTCTGTTACTGTTTGTATCGTAATCACCGCCAAAGTGTCAATAAATTCCCATAAACGTACGCAATTGCCTGACACTTTTTTGGGGCGCTATCCTTGAAGCCTTGAGGCCATTTTGGGTATGGTACGGGTTAGTCAGGTCAGGGGTTTTATCCTTGTTTAGGGCTTGAAGCGTGTCTTAAGTTATGGCATGAGTTTTGTGGAATTTGTCGCTTGTGCCAAGGGATCTAAGAAAATCATTTAAATTTTTATAACCGAACAATTTTATTCTTTGGGAACCTTTTTAGGTTTAATTTAAGTGTGCTGTTTAGAACTAATTAAATAATTATATTTCTAAATTCTAACTAGGTATATAGAATATTTTTTAACTGACAAAATTTATGAAAAAATATAATTTCTCCGTTTTCACACTAGTTAGTTTAAGCCCTTGCCAGACATGCTGTCTGGAAATTTTTTGCACATCTGTGTTCCAAGAAATAGTAGACCACAACAAATTTACTTGGAAACAAACAAATAGTTGCATATAATAATTCATAATTCCAGATTATTACATGGTAATTATGCTCAGCACAAAGGGACAAACGTTAAATCCATTTCTGACCGGACAATGAGGACAAAAACCAGAATAGATCGCTCCATTGTTTGGTCATTGTTTAACAAAGAGTGGGATCAACAAGTGGGCAAGAAGAGATTCCCATGGAATTTCTTGAGTCTCTGGGATTCTAACTTCTAATCTCATTTTCGCAATTTAGCGCCAACAACTAATCCGCAAAACGAAAACGATTAATCTGGCAGGGAAAACCCAGAAACACGCAACCGCCTGACGTAGTCAAGGATTATCATCAGGTGACCTATTGTTGGTCAGAAGAAAAGAAGAGAGGTGCCTACTTTCAACCAGAACCGCCCACAAACCAACTACCTATTGTTGCTATTTTGACAGGCCAGAGAAAGGAAACCTCTTGAAATCCCAGGTAGCGCAAAAAATGCTTATTGGAAATCCCAGATCCTTTTTCTTGAAGGCGTTGCCGATCTTTAGGTTATCCGCGAACCGTTCTCCCGAAAATATTGCAGCATAATGCTTGAGATCTGGGTCAGGAATTTAGCTAAGCTGCGGTCGCGTGGCACTCTTAACAAAGTCGATCGATCGATCCATCAGCGATCATCATCACCGTCAAAGATCAAACGTCAGGATCCTTTGTCGGCCCGGGACTTTGTTCCTTGACAATTTGTGTGAAGTATCTGGGCCATCTTGCGGTGGCATCATTTGTACTCTTTAGCCATGCTCGGCGCTTCTTGGTCAGTGTTTTCCAATTGTTTTGGCCGTTTTCTTTAGAAATTCAGCGAACTCTTCGAATTGATTTTCCTCCTAATGCTGCGAGTCTGTGGAGTTAATTAACCTTTCGTTGCGGCCACTTGAAAGTGGGTTTGAGCCGGGCTGGATTTCAAAATGATTAGGGGTCTGGAATTAGCTCTACTGCATATGGAGAGGTAAGGGGTGTGGGAGTAACAGATTCTACCAGAATTTGAAGAGAAACATTTATTCTTGTGTATTTGATAACAAATAGTAAATAATATTTTATAAGCTTGTATGTAAAAACATACTATAAACGTATGTAAATATTTAAATAATATTGAAAATGTATGGTGTTGTAAAAAATGACTGCTTAAAAATCGTTTAATTTGTATTCTCATCACCTACCCATAACGTCTCTCATTTGAAGAGGTGCTGGTCGTTCGGAGAAAGCCACTTTAAAAGCAAATATTTAAATTTGACCCAATAATGCAAGTAAAATCGCCTAAAATCGAAAGTTGCAAACCGCACAAATAAAACTGTTCTTCTTTGTTCTGTCCGAAAGCTGAAAGTTCCAACCAACCCAACACTTAGTAGACCACAGACATGCAACGATGATGATCCAAGGGGGATCTTGGATGGATGCAAAAATTGTAAAAATGATTCCCACATGACCAGGAGTCTTTTGTTTGTTCGTATTTTTGACCTTGGCAAAAATTGTTTGGCTATAAAAAGTAATTTCAGCGTAAGTAACAAAAGAGGTATGATTACAGACGGTAGCCAAATGACAGGTCAAACAAAGGGAATCGACCTATAGCTGGTACAGTGAATATCTGTGGAGAAAAAGGGAGAGAAGTACATTCAAAGGACAATTAAACGTTTTGACCGCAAGCCAATTTAGGGCACGGGCTGGGTCTTGGATCCTCAAGAAGCAGGTAATCGGCTACCTGAAAGGTTCGGATCCGTTTGAGACAGCGAATCAGGTAGCAGGCTACATCAACTGAACCAATCACGTAAGAGCTGGGACTTCGGCAGGCAGCTATATAAAGCCCGATCTTCAACTAACTGCATCAGTTGTCCTTTGAACCTGAAAACGTAAACATGTTGACCAACAACGACCTAATGGAGCAGTTCTACTTTCCCGACGAGTCACCAGCGGTTCCCGAGTTCCTGGGCAACGATACTTTCCAGCAGTTGGAGCAGCTCATGTACCAGCAGGAGTTCAGCGCCAGCGATAGTCAGTCTGATGGGACCAACAGTTGCTCCTTGGAGATGTACTACGATACTCCGGCTGTCCTGGAACTCGAACAAATGCTCAATTCCCAGGAGCAACCGCATCAGAATCAATCGAGTCATTTAGCCAAATGTCAAGGAAGGAGCTCAAAATACTGGAATAAACAGCAGAGGAGTAAGCCCTACGACCGGCTGTCCACCTCCATGTCATCATCCGCATCCTGCGCCTCATCGACCAGTTCATCTTCCGGGGAATTTGGTGGCGAAGTCCTTAAAAAGCGGCGACTGGCTGCTAATGCCCGCGAACGAAGGCGGATGAACAGCTTAAACGATGCCTTCGACAAGTTAAGGGATGTGGTTCCATCTCTTGGTCACGACCGACGACTCTCCAAATACGAAACTCTGCAAATGGCACAGGCTTACATCGGTGACTTGGTCACATTGCTCTCCAGAGACTACTAACCAGTTGGACGATCCTTCAGCTTCCTTCAAATGGAAGTCCCTTTTCAGGGCTGTGTTGCAGCAACACTTTGACCTAGTGGAATACTTATAAAGGCTGTTAGTTTGTAGTTTATTATCATAGTTGTAAATAATGCTAAGTAATAATTGTCTAATAAAAATAAAAAGAGTTTTAAATTAAAATTACTTGGATTTGTTATCTTATAAAAATGTAAAACAATGGGAATCTCTATTATCTCCATATATCTGAAGTTACCAAAACCTTATTATGCCGATTACATAGATATGATTTTATTATCTTAGACTTTCAAAGAATGTGGGATTTGATGTTGATTAGGTTTTTCCTTTTGAAAATTTCCGAAAATGTAAAGTACTCGTATATATAAAAATAGGAAAATTTAGAATATGAATTATCAACATTTTAACAGGATAGCATGGATCGTATTCAAATTTAATGTGATCTACTAGTAGTTTAAGAAAATAAATTTAAAAAAAAAACCATAACCATAATCATTAATCAAAACAAATTTCTCCTTAACATTTGTTTACATTCGCCACACTTTCAAATCAACCCGAAAAGGGTATCCTTGTTATCCCTGAGAGATGAGAGCGGCACGGAAAAGTGGGGAGTGTGCCACTCCCACGAACCAAAAATAAGGGTCAAAACACCACTTACCAACAGAGAATTAATGAGTTCCGACTTCCGACACAGAGCGAGCGAACTCCAAACAGAAGTGATTAAATGCTGAAAACGTCAACAGGTAAACACAGTCGCTTCCTTAGATGAACCTTGGAGAGGCAGACGAAAATTGATTTAAACATAGTCATTTGTAAATGCTATGGGAAATGTGGGTGGATCCAGGATATTGAACGGAAACCCAGTTAATCCACAAGCAAAACTAGACGTACAGAGTTTTAGATTTCGAATATCACATTGATTTTGTATTTATAAAACTAAATACAGTGTATTATATTAGCTTACTATAACTATTTTATATTGCTCAAACCTCAAAAAATTGCTCTTCACTGATGTCCATTTTTTGAGAAAATTATTGCAGCTATCATTTAACTTAAACAAAAAGTTAATTTAAAAAAATAACAAAAAATGAAGCTAGATTTTCTTTATTAGGTAATAATAATTATTTTAATATTTCGTAATACTTTTTTTTAATATTTCAATTTAAAGTTTAAAAAATAACTAATTTTATTCCCACTTTACGATCTTTTTATACCCTTGCTGGGTACTTTTACTCTCTAAATATAATGCTATAGACACGCAAAGAGCGATCGAATAAATATATACCACCGCTGACATATATATGCCATAGGGAATATCTGGTTCGAGTTTAAATATCAATTTAAAGTGAAGATATATAACCCGTAAATCGAATTTATTTAAAGAGTAATTGTGTTGGCTCGAAAAAAGATTATAATGCAGCCAACAAATATGTGACAAAAGTAAAGGCAAGAACATGTAAGCTTCGTTTCTCGTTATTTTTGTTGACTTTCACAACCAAAAAGTTAAGTAATAAATTTAAGAATTTATATATTTGTAGAAGATAATTATCATTGACAGTTGGTGAAGAGCATAAAACTTTTTGAATCTCGTTAACAATTAATTGTTGGACTATTTTTATAACTATTTACAGTCATTAATATCTATGTTTAGCACTACGAACTATAAGCGAAGGCGCATTAACTAATTATTGGAGAATTTATAACCTAAGTTAACATATTAACATAAGTTACGATGAAAGCGTAAATTGAAAGTCTTTGCAAGTGTAGAAGTGTAGAATCACCCCCTGGATGAAGGCTTCAGACGTTGGAAAATTAAAGCACTGTGAGTGTTATCATATATTTCCATCATTTAATATTTTACAAAAGAAAATAACTCAACGAATGGTTACTTAATTAAATTTCACTGCAAGTTGCGTTTTGTTATTTATATTTTTAGTTGGTCAACTTGTTTTCGTTTTAATTATTTTACACTGAAATTGCTTATTACCAGAAAAAAAATCATACAGAGCAATGCACAATTTTTCAGCCAACGTCGTCTGCCCACCGCCCAAAGGGAAACCAAGACAAATGTTTCGCGTTAATGTGTTATCTGTTCTATACAATACACTTTTTTGTTAAATTAAATCAAAGTGAGATAGGTGAAGTCTAAAACTAAGGATTCTCTCATTTGGAGATCTTTAAAATACGTAATTACATCATCCAAGCTTTACCACGCATCCGCCCGCGTCCACGCATCGGACCGCCGGGTCCTCCTCCTCTTGGAAAAAATGGTCGTGGTCCGGGTCCAGGACCATCGAATCCTGGCCGTTGATACGGCGGTCTAAATGGTCCAGGACCAGGTCCATTCCAGCCTCGTCCTCTGCCTCGCCCGCGTTGCATTCCGTCGGGACCATTCATCGGTGGACCTGGGAATCGTTGAAAGGGCGGAAACGGGGGTCCATAGGGAGGTCGCGGTGGTGGTGGCGGTGCTCCACCACCTCCCATTTGCATGGGGTTCATTTGGTTCCAGGGCTGATGATGTTGCTGTAGATCTTGTTGATGTGGCTGCTGTTCATGTTGCTGGTCCTCTTCTTCGGGTTGACCCATAAAGGCATTGTTCGTCTCCCAAGTATTAATAAACTCAGACGGAGTTTCCAACAAAACAGGACGCGAAGGTGTCATAGCGCCATTGGCATCGGCATCGACTTCTCCATTATCATCTTTGTGTTCTAAAAGTTTAAATTGTTTAAAAAAAAATCCTTTACCTTACGAAGTTTGATTTTATTATACCTCTCTGCGATTCGTCAATATCATCATCCGACATGTCCATGTCAATTACCATATCAGCGGGATCGTAGCGGGCAGCACCATCCAAGCGATCTGATTCAGATGAGGAGCCTGTTTAGGGAATTACATTTGTGATTGGGTTTTGTAAAATAATATAATTTTACTCGCCCGTACTGGCATTGGATTTAAGCGGTGAACTGGTCTTGCTTTTGGCATAGGTATTTCCAGGAGGAGCCATGATGCCATCGTCATTTGGATTTGGGACAATTCGGTAGTCAACATCGCCGCCAGAAAAGTCCTGGAAAGAAGACTATTAGATTGCATCACAGCTTAGGACATTTTTGTTATAAACTATATATTTACCTTTTCCGCTCCGCCTGGGGAACCTGTGAGCGATATTAAATTTCTGTGATCAATGTCCACCAACTGTCTAGACTTGTCCTTGCTCAAACCAAGCTTTGCACCAAAATCGAAGGCCGGCGGGAGCTGCAGAGTGCGATGGTCAACATCCTCGGAGCCCAGCGTTGCGGGATTGTTATGCAGGTGCTCGTTGTATTCAATGGCGGACGTGGAGCTTCCCTTTCTGTCAAAATGCGGTGGCGAGTGGGGAGTTGATTGATTAGCATATGAGGAGGAGCTCGCTCCACTACTATTTAAGCTAGTGTCCAACGGTGTCCAGGACATGCTCATATTCCAAGTGCTGTTGAAGTCATCTGCAGAACCGCTGGCAGTTCCTAGAGACGGTGGCAAGGGTGGTGGAGGCATTGGCGCAGGCGTGTACTGATTTTCCTGAATCCCACTGCCTCCACCGTTTCCATTGCCACCATAAAGATGCGAAGATGGTGGCGGGACATATTGCTCTTGGTTGCTAGAACCAAACAAGGGCGGATTGGGAACATATTCAGCGGAACCACCAAGCCCAGGTATGCTGCTGTCAGAACTGGAAATCGGCTCAGACTTGTAGAAATTGGCACTCGGCACATAGGCTTCGTCATCCGACCGCGATCCGATCACCTCGATGGCACTTCCCCGATCCTTCGAGTCCCGCTTGAAGTCGTTGATATCAAAGGGTAGTTTGCCACCATCCAGATAACTTGTAAAGCCATTCAAACTACTTCCAAAAAGGTTCTATAAGTGAAAAATATATTATAAATATAATTAAATTGTATAAGTTTTAGGTTCTGTTACCAGTGGCAAATTGTTCTCTTCAGGGAGCTGGAGATCTGCATCGCGTTCCGGTGAGGGAGCATTTGCGTCCGGCGAGGGTATTGGACTGGCCAGGTTGGGTATTGTGTCGTCCAACTTTCTTTTCACTATTTTTATGCGCGTTCCAAAACTTTTATAGGCCTATAAAAATATATAATTTTTCTTACACTTCTGCATATTTATTATTTAACTTTATCTACTTACACTGGCAACCACCTTGACTTCCTTGCTCTGATGCTCGTAAAACTTTTTGGCCTGTTCAATACTGGCTACTACGGCCTTTCGACTCTTAATCTCGTTCTGCAGGTTCTTATTGTAGGCATTGATAAATGCTACACACCGCTCCACCTCCTTTTCGATGTCCCCGGAGTGGCTTTTGTCCTTCAGTTGCTGCTTGATGACCTCGATCTCGAAATTTGGCGGTTTGGGCAACTTCTGCATGCTTTTGTCCGTGGTCTCCGCCAATTCAACACACTCTCTCACCTGGGCAATCAATGTGGCGCTTTGAAATTCGTCACTTACATCAACCTGAGACTTTTTGGGCGGCGCTATGTTTAACAAGCCGCTCAAGTCACTTAGGTACTCCTCGTTGTAGATCTCTCGCTGCTCCCAGATCTTGAAGATTCGCAGGATTTTGTCTTTGACGCGCTCGTCGCTGGAGATGGGAAATCAAGTACAAAAGGAGGAATAAGTATTCTTCATTATTTGCAATTGTATGAAATCTTATATATAATGCATCATGCCAAGCAAGCGTAATTTGATAGTTAAACCTATCCGGTTGAAAATACTTACCGCACCATGGTGGTGGCCCGTTGCAGGGCTGTAGCCCAGCATTCGACGAATTCGTAGCGCTTGCGCTTGCTGTACTGGATGACATCGTTGGCCAGATAGAAGAGGACCAGTCGATGGTCAACGCGAACTGGGAATGGTATGGATACCATTAGCAAATGAAACATGGAGAAGCACCACAAACTCACCCCTTTTAAAAACATTTAGCCAGCACTGGATGATCTTCTTGTGGTTTACTCGGTGTTGTAGGCACCAGTTAGACATTTGCCGGATTCCCTCCTGGGTGTCCTTTAGCGCCTCCAGTCGCGTTTCGAACAGCTCCTCGTCAAAGGTTTCCGTCATTTTGATTGATCCTATTTGGCGGCTATATCCTCAGCGCATTACAATTGTTTACAACGTTTTTGCCGCTGATACTTTTCAGCGTTGTATTTCCACTTTTCTTCTTCTCCCCACACGCGCACTCACTAAATTTTCACTAACTAGGCTTTTCCCGCTCGATTTTTTATAGGATTGTCGACATTTTTAAATTCAATATATGGACCTGCACATTTTTCCAATGGTTTTCTACCTAATTACCGATTGTTTGTTACATTAAAATAAGAATTTCGGTTAAAAAACAGAAAAATCGAGCCCACTTTGCCTAGAGGTGGAACAAAGACCGATGTTTGTTCAATACAATCGATGTGTACAGCTACAACGTTGTGGTGGAGGGTGAATTTACTAAGTATGTACACGCACTAACAGAAACATCGGTATTAATCGGTTTTGTTTTAAATGTAGTTTTTGTAACGATTTGCTAAACAGAAACAAAATCTTCAAAAGTTGAAAGAATATATTTAAGGCTGCTTTTCTTCAATATGTTGATGCTATGTTTGATCTTATAACGAAAAAAACCTAATTAAATTAAAATTAAAATTGGTATTAATAAACATTAAGCAGACCATTAACTTGCTAATCCTATTGTCCCAATAATCTTAAAAGTCCCAATTTCTCCTTCACCAATGGCGTAAAGGTTTTCCATTGTTAAAATGTTTTTTCTGTCGCTACAAGCTTGATTAGAACCGTATTCTACCGGTTGTTCCAGCCTGCACCGATACCGCTCGAACATGATGCTGTTGCGGCCGAGGTTGCGACGAGCATGTCCAAATCGGCAAGGCGGCGTCTCAGGCTTTCCTCTGCTGCTGCAAGTAAAACCCTTTTATTTCGATTTTGATCGCAACTAAAGCGCTAAAGCGGGTGAACAGAGATCTAATGTCAACTACATAGCTTAAAAAAGTGTTTTTGTTGTTACCTAAATTTTAAAATTTGTTAAGTTAAGTATTTGTAGGTACCTATGAATATTTCTTCTTCTCCTTAATATTATAATAATAACTAACATTTAATATTAATCAAACACGATCCTGATCCTGATTATGGAGAAGATGACGTTCGCTGTTACGAAAACCTAACGGAAATGAACTGAACAATTTCATTAATCGAAAAATACAACATCTATCAATAAATTTATATACGCTTTGTACTTACTTCGAACCGTTTGATGGAGCTCGGGTTGGACGCAACCGCTCGAACATGAACCTATATAAGCAAGCGGCACAGCAAAAGTACAAAAATATCCTGAAAGGACTCGGACGCGGATACTGACAAATTTTTGTATTGATTTTACTGACATTACCGAAAGTCTCGTAAATTTTGCCGGTACGGTGATTGTTTGTGTTTGCTTTAATTCATTGATAACAAATTGTGCTTAAATGCGTGGGAGATTTCTTGGCACTGGCTGTTATTATTGTCTTAAGTTGCCGGCATATGGTGTCCTGGCTAGAGATGAGCAAGTGAAAATAACTATTTATTAAAGTTTGAATAAAATATTAGGAAATTACATATAAATATAATTTAAAAGTGTGTATTCTAAACATAAATTACTGTATTTAAATGGTTTTAAAACTGTTTCTTGTTTAGTGTTTATACTGCAAGGAAATTGCTGATTTTCCGCTTGAGTAAGCAACAAGTGAATCATGATTCGTGCGTGAATATTTCTTAAATTCGTGTCACTTTCTCATCTCCTATGTGTGTCCCAACGCCTGCGGTTGTTTTGTTTTTGTTTAATTTTATTTCGGTTAGATGGGTGAGCAACAAAAACTAATCAAAAAGTAAGGATATTATGCAGGCAGGGGAGTGTAAGAGAAAAACACTGAATATTTGTCATGGATCTGAGCTATCTGCTTACGAATAAACACAAATAAATGCAAAAAAAAAAAAAAAATCCGTTGTCCTTAAGCCTTATCTTTTTATCAAAACTCAAATTTCATTTGATTTTTTGTATTGAATATTGATGAATATTATATTTTTCTTTTAATTAAAAGATTAAATTGTAAGGTAGGATTTTTAACTAATTTTCGAATAAGGAAAGTATTATAGTATTCAGGACTTAGTTTTTTTCCAATTGCATATTATAATTTTCGTAGGCAGTGCAATATTCCCTAGCCAATTCCTTGCCAACTAAAAAATGAGCAAGAGTTCTGCATAGCCAGCTCCTCTTCCTCGTTGCCATTAGGGCCATGTAATTATTCTGATTACTTGGCTTAGACTCGCAGACAGGACACCAATCACAGCGGCAATAGCAAGAGCAACAACAACGGCAAATCCCATGCTGCGCCACTGACCCAGTGCCAAGTTACGTCGGTGCCATTCCGTCCGGACATCGCTTTCCGCTTTGTCCGGCACGGTTTCCGTTCTGGCCATTTGACCAGCGACGCCACACGGCCAAGGAAATGCGCCGTAGCAAATAATTACGCTTCAATTGCTGCTCTTCCTTCAAGGACTTTTGTTTTGATTGTGTCCTGAGCTCAATAAAAAAACTAAATAAACTAGAACGGAATTTCGAGTGGCTTAAAGGGCGGCAAAAGGAGACGTGAATAGGAAGCGATAAAAAGATCCCAAAAATAGCTAAGGAGGTAAGTTAAATTTGTTTAATGACTCTATATCCTAATTAATTAATAAAGAACCTTTTACCTTATCTTAAATTCTAAGAACTTGATATCCTGACTTGATAATCCTGACGGACATATCTATTTTAAAATAGATTTTATTTTAATCTGATTATTATAAAACATTTTTTTTTTGCTGTCGCTTAATAACGGAAGTGGTAAATTAACTTATTGGAAAACCGATTTGATATTTATCTGCTCATTGCCTGCTAGTCCCTGGCTCACTGACGTCACTTTCCTGAGCTTTAAGGGTTCATTCTTTAGACAGCTTCCCTTAACACCCACACAAGCTCAACGATAATCACAATTAGCCCACACCTTTGGCGCAACGAGAAACAATAAACACTAATTAGAAGGCAATTCCGACGACAACATCGCGCATTTGAAAAGCGCTGGGTTTTCCACTCGTGTAACCTGATTTTCCCGGCCCAAAGGCTTCGTCCTTAGTTACACGTACACACTCGTTGGCGTTTGTCAATTAGTTGCTCGTTCGCAGGGCGAAGTTTTCCTTTGGTGTTTTTGCCACTTTTCCGAGCTCCGCAGACTGCGTCGCAGTTTCATCTACTTTCGAAGAAATTTAATTTCTAATTTTCACCTGCAGCTCTGAAATGGCAGCTTATGATTGGAAGTGAAGTGTTGAATGCATCTTCAAGTCGATATACATATGCCCAATTACACATTTTCAACTGCATATCTCAGCGTGCTCTTCCACTCCAGTTGCACTTCTCAACTTCTGATTTGTACGTCAATCAATGTCGCATACATTCAAAAGTTTTGCATACAAGGAAAGAAAATGTGTCAACATTTCCGGGGAAAAAGTTCAGGATAGAAAGGGTAAAGAGTGAAATAAGTTCCAAATGCTTGCCATCAACCTGTGTTGGCGGAGATCGACGTCATCGGAAAGGCAGCTTCCCACGCTTTTAAGGGGGCAAAAAACGGAAAACGTTGTAAACAAGTTCCAACGTCAGAAATAAATTAGTTAGATTGATCAGGATTAAGTTAGTCATTTCCTACCATCTAAATTGTGGGGTGTACATAGTAATTCTTACGAGACTCAATTTAAGTTCCTAAAGAGAAATCATTCAATCTGGTTTTAAATTTTGACACAAGTTTTTACTTTAAAATTACTATAAAAAGTAGTCAACTATTAAATACTTTCGGTTGTATTTTGGTGTGTTTTTTTAACTTTTGGTTTTAATATATATGAATTTTAAACCCAAAACCAAAGTTTATTTAGAAGATTCTTACTGAAAGCCATTGCCCCAGAAGGTGCATTACCTTGGATGGCCGCGGCAGAAATGACAAATTGAATGCATCGTTTGCCAGGGGACACATGATGGATGGCCACGAGCTTCTCATCCAGGCAATTGTGTGCTTTGCCACAACCCAGACACACACACACACACAATCCACGACCCAGGGAACGAGTCAGAAGCCACTTTGGCTGCTTTCTTTTTTCATTTGCATACATATGTGAGAACGACAACCCGCAGGGTCACACAGAACGCCAACAAAAACGCAGGCATTCAGTGACAGCTTGACAAAGGACATGCAGGGCAGGATAAGGATATGGAAAAAGGACGCGGGGACACGCTTTGCGTGGATGATGAGAAAGCTGCCGTGGCTGGCACTTAATAAGTCAACATGGCTCTGCTCATTTATGATATATGACAATTTACTTTTGCCCCTTAGATTGAGTAAATGCCGAGGAGTGGAAAAAAGGAGGGACAACTTAATGTATCACATGAATTATTAATCGTGAGCACTTTGAGATAGGTTAAGGGAACTAAAACCGTCGTGGTGTGTTAACATACTAATGTGTCTTTTTGTGACAGAAGCATTTAATAAATGAAAGCCTTACATGACTTTTATTAAATCAAATTTAACTAATATACATGTTCAAGTTTTAACCTTAGCTGTTTAAAGTTGATGATTTTGAACCTTAACAAATTTAAATTTATTTTACACAGACCGTTTTTAACTCATGTTCCCAACATGCAACAAATTAAAAGCAATATATCTCGTTCCTTTTTTTGGTAACTTTTTCGAGGTAATGAGGCAGCTCTCATTCATCCAGCAAGTCATCAGCAGCATTGTCCTGGTAATTCATCGCCATAGTCACGCCCACTTGGGAGCCGCCCCTCACGGCTCTCCGACTCGTGGCATCACTTGGCTTGCATAATTAGCTAATTGAGCGCTCAGCGTTAATGATTCGCATGACAACAAAAATTCGAGCCTCTTGCTGGGAAAATTGTAAACCGCGAACTGGCACACAAATTGAAAAGTGGAAAAAACCCGACTGATGCTTAAAGGGGCATTAGTTGAAAAATCGTTTCATTCTCTAGGCTCTAACAGGATCCCATCTTTAGTAGCTTCTGTTTAGCTAATAAGCGTCCTGTTGTATGCTCTTGTCCCACTCGGCGTATACGCAACCTGCAACGAAAATGTCTGCTACGTGATTTGAACGCAAGAATCGAGAGACACGTGGCTCCATAATATTCCATTTCTATGCTTACTTTGTTACAAGAAGCTACACTTAGAAGGAGGAAATGAGATGTTATTATATGCTGCACAGCTTTTTGTTATTAAAATATTTTTCTAGCAAAATAAGTTTGATTTGATGTAACGTTTTGGGAATAACAATGTCTATGTTGTATTTAAAAGATGGCATTAAATCCA